CCCTATTGGCTGCTGGGGCTGAGTCCCCGCCTATCCACATCCGGGACATTCCGCCTGCGTGACGCAGACCCATCCTCCCGTCTTGATTGGCTCCCTTGGGGCATCTCGTGTTTCTGATTGGATGGCTGCGTGACGGCCTTTCCCCAAGACAATAGAGTTGGTCTCAGGGCAGGGTAGAGAGCCCCTGTCACTCCCTCCTCCTCCCCCTGGAGGTTATTGCAACATGGCAGCTGAAGCGACTCTAAGGGTCACGTGATGGGGGGAGGGCTGGAGAGAGGCAGGCTCATAATTCGAATTGTGCTCCAGGAGTGTTTACATTGTCACACCCATCATGCACAAGCACAGGTGTCAGAAGCCCAGTTCCCCCCTTGTGCAGGTTTCTCTAACTGTGCCCTTTCCATGGGATGTTTAAAACTCTTTGGGCTTGTTTCCTCCTGTGTTTTCTTGGCATTTGTAACTTAAACACTTGAATAAATGGCTGGAACAAAATCTCTGTACTCTACTAAAATGCAACATCCCCAGGTCCTATATTAAGTCCGGAGAAAACTGCCACGCCATTTTTGCACTCTTCTAGGAGACCTTCAAGGAAGAATGTTTCAGATGGTGAAAAACAGAAGCAGAAGTTGCAGTCATATACAATGTTCACAGTCAAATATGTATGAAGCTGTCAAGGGCCTGATTTTTAAAAACTTGTCTGCCACTCTAATATGTCTCAATGACCTAGACGTACTCCCACATCAATGTAGTCTGCAGGAGGGAAACAGGGCAGCCACCAAGGTAGAAGGAGATGTTGCTCAACCATTCTAGCATAGTAAAGAAAGAGACAAGGTGAATAAAGGCTTCGGGTTCATCCTAGAAACCTGAATCACTTGAAGAATTTTATTCTCTGCTCAGTAGTATCTTGTCTTGAATTAAGCAGGTGCTCATAAACAAAAATCTTAGAGGTTTTAGGCACTGAATAATAATAATAATTAATAAAAACAAATCCCACTTGTCTCAATCAGGTTTATTGTCCATGTCATCTGTGATAACTGTCTGTCAATCCACAAACTAGCCAGTGGGTGGAGCCATCTGCTTGAGCAATAGGACGTGTACCACCTTTTCAAGTGTTCAGCGACATGATTAAGAGGATTTCCATCTTGTCAATAATTCCTCTTAACATCAAGGACCTAAAAAGTCTCTTTGCCCTGAGAATTCCAAAGCCATATCCTAAGGCAAAGAATGGCACCATGATGTGCTTATTAAGGGAGTCGGTACAGTGTGCCCTGTGGTTTGGGAGATACACATTTCAAATGGTGTCCCATCCTATGGCTCTTACCACATCAACCATCAACAAAGCTTGTCATCTTGGGGTCTGAACAGCTCCAGTCTCTACCTGCATCTAAGACTGTTTTCCTGAACTGGTTAAACCAATTTGTTCCTGGCTTCATTTAATAATAACTATGCTAGGGCACCGGTCAGCCTTCTCCCTGTCCTATTCTTTACCCTTTAACATATTCTGTTCTTCTTCATCCTCTCTAAACTTTGGACGTGACATTCCCTTTATCTGGAATAACTTCAGTATTGCCAATCTGAAGCAATAAAAAAACCTTGAGTAAGCCCGCCCCTAAAATTGTAAAACAGGCTTACAAATTATGAGGGGTATTTAATGACCATTTTGGAGGACTTTTAATTTGTAATCTAGTATTTGATACTCTAAGATATTCACATTTGCAAGCTTTCTCCATAATCATGCAGGCTAGAAACTTTTATTTGAAAAAGAAAAAGTAAGCAGGGATGCTCATGAAATCACATGGCTCCGGAAAATGAGGCTTTAACTAAAAACCAAGACATATCACGAACAGTTGGGAACACCACAGCCTTCTAAGTGCAGCTCATTTCTGTTGTCTGTACATCTGTATATCTCCTCTTCCACCGAGAGAAGATTGTCTCTCCTGCCTGAATGCCCACGGTTTGTGAAGTACCTCCTTGCAGTCCCCTCTCCTGGCTGTATAGGGGTCAGCGGTCTCTCCCTCCCCATGGATCCTTTGGACCCTGGACTTTGGCCACAGCATCTTCCATGTGCCAATATCCCCAACCTTTTTTAAATGGCCAGTTGCTCATCCCCAACAACTCTCCCTAAAGGGCTCTCAAGTCCCAATGAATAAAACGTATAGACAACCTCCCCCCTTACCTCCCCCCCCCCCCCTACATCCCATATATGCAGGGGTAGGAAGGAGGCAGGCATATTTATACCTGCCTCTGGAAATTTCCACTACATGCATCTGACGAAGTGGGTCTTTGCCCACGAAAGCTTATGCTCCAACCCAGCTGCCACAGGACTCCTCGCTACTTTGGCAGAGCGCTCGCTCCAGCATCAGGGGAACTACAAGTCCCAGCATGCTCTTCGGGGGGGCGGTGCCCCGCTGAAACAATTCCGTGCGGGACGGAGGGGCGGGAGCTAATGGTTCCGCCCCCCTCGGAGGCTCCTCCTCCTCTGTCGCAGCAGGGTCCGGCGAGGCTTGCAGAGAGAGGCGCTGTGCTGCGGTGAGCGAGTCCCCCCGGGGGGGCGGGTATGTGTGACCCTCGCCTCCCCCAGGAAGGGGGGAGAGGTTTTTGGGGGGCACCGGGGAGCAGCTTGGTCTCTGCCTGCCTAGCCGCTGCTCCGCTTTCACTTTCGTTTCCTTGCCCTCGGGGCAAGAGGGGCTGGCCCCACGTGGGGGGCAGCCTGGCTGGAGGAAGTGGGGGGCAGCCTGTCCCCTCTGCAGTCAGGCCAGTGGGGGGGGGGTCAGTGCCCCACAAAACCTGCTCCTGGGGATGGACCCCCCCTGTAAGATTGCTGCAGTCATGGAGGGGATTGCTCCCCAAATCCCCCCCAACTTCTTTCCCCTTCCCCCCCCTGCACTCCCTTGCCCCCTGTTTATTCCCAGCAGCCCCTCCCTGTGTGGCCAGCAAGGCCAGGCGGTTGGCACGTCCCCTACCCGCCTCCCCTGCCCAGTACCAAAAGTGGAAAGAGACAGGTCTTTGGAGAGGTAGCTGCCACTGAGATTTTCTGGGGCCCCATCAGCTGCCCCCCTTCTCTCTCCC